TAGGGCCTCATAGGGAACTACATCACTCATTCTTTTTGTTGCTGTTGATTTTTATTTTGAGATAGGGTCTCACCAAGTCACTCAATTACCAGCTCTGTGTTTGAACTCAACTCTGCTGCCTCAGCCTCCCAGACTGCAGTGTTTACAGATGCACACCACCATATTCAGTTACAATTCATCTTCTCCCCATGCTCCTTGGCCTCCCAGATCACTGACCCCAAAAGTGTCACTAGTGTACCCCCTACATACACACCTCTGAGTCCACTTCCCGGAACCCAACCCTGAAACCATGCAGGGTGGGTGGTGGCCACACGTGAGCCCTGAATTTGCCAAAATTTGCCGATCAGGGTCTAGAGAAATCATAAACCAAGTTTTCCCACAGTGGCTCCTAGTACCTGTACTAAGAGACAAAACTGGCTCAGCAAGGTGCTGCTCCTAGGAGGCCCCAGGATCTAGGGTCCGGGGCTCACTAAACCCTGGTTTCAGGGGAAGACAGTGCCGGAGGCACCAGGAGACCCAGGAAGCTGCAGAGGGCAGAGAACAATCAGTCACTGAGTGGAGAACTGGCCTGGGGAGTAGAAGCCTTGTTGGCGACATCTGTGCAGGGCGGGCCTCTTTCTCTTCCATGGATGAAGTTCCTACTGTGTGCAGGTTAAAACACAAAACAGGCAGGATCTAATTTAGTCCATAATGTGTTAACGGTTCTGATCCTGTTTTATAAGGAAGGTTTTTTTTTTTTTTTTTTTGGTACTGGGAATCGAACTCACAACCATGTGCTTGCAAGGCCAAGCTGGTCTTGAACTTGCAATGATCCTTCTGCCTTAGCTTCTTGAGTGTTGCTTTGCAGGGACAATTAAATCAAAACTTAGACCAGAACTCTCTGGAGAGGTTGAAGCAGGAGGATTATGAGTTCTGGGCCAACCTGAACTACCTCAGGAAGATGTCTCCAAAAACTAAACCAAACCAAACAGAAAAGCTCGCAGAAATGGCTCAGCCTGATTACACATAGGCAGCAATGGGGAACTAAGGGGAGTCAACCCAGGAGTTTCTGATTCTATTGTCCATGCCCCTGCTACTCCCATGCCCCCTGCTATGAGTGTAGACTTAGAACCTGCAGTTCCAGGGCCCCAGGGCTGGATGTCGCCCAGCTAGGCCCTTAGAAATGCAACTGAGGCCAGCCGCAGCCATGCTATGCACACTCTGCACAGCAGGATGCAGGCAGGGTCTCAGGCCTCCCTGGACCAAACCTCTCACTTCACCAATGGAGAAAGCATGACCTAGAAAAGTGAGGAGTCTGAACTCAGATGCTGGTGGGCGAGAGGAGCGAGAGGAGAGCGTGGACTGAAGCCTCCAATGCTGTGCTCTTCCTCCCGTTCTCTCTCAGGGCCCCACAGACTCAGATTCTGGTGGGGGCTGCTCACTGGCCTTAAAACAGCTCAGTGGCTCTGCCGGCATGCATCTGGGTGGTGGCTCTGGTCCCAGAGTATCCCGTGCTCCCTATGTCACTGGCTCCATTACAGACTGGATCTTCTTAGGGAAAACCACCCACTCCTGAAGAACCTTGAGGACCCTCTGCCTGCGGAGTCCAGATTCCCCTCAGCCTGATGGGCCAGCTGACGAGCAGTGCCACCTGCAGGGCCCCATTTTCCCACCAGGACTGTGCAGGAAGAGGGGACATTCCCAGGGACTCGAACAAAATCTGTGTGCTTAGTCCATGGCACTAACTTAGAGAAAATGTGTGCCTTATACTGTTTTTTTTTATTGTTTTTGAGACAGGTCTCATTATATAGTATAGGTTGGCCCTGAACTCACTCTGTAGCCCCAGTTGGCCTCCAACTTGCAGCAATCCTCCTGCCTCAGCCTCCTGAGTGCTGGGATTACAAACATGCTCCACGTCACCTAGCCACACTTACTTATTTTTCTTTCCTTTTTTGGAGACAGGGTCTTGCTATATATTCTAGGCTGGCCTCAACTCACAGAAGCCTCAGCCTCTCAAGTGCTAGGATCATAAGGTGCCACCATGCATGGCTTGGAAGCTTTCTGTGACCACTCTGAGGCTCCCTTTCCTGCCAGTGTTGTTACAAGGATTTATGTGGATGCCTGTAAGACAAACCTCACCGAGACCTGCCAGCCAGCAGGGTTTGCTAGCACTAAAAAACCTGAGTTTCAGGAAGCCCCCTGAGAGTCTCACAAGCTGAGCCCATTAGCCAGGTTGCACTCCAGCAAAGCGGGGCTTGGGATCCCTGTTTAAAGAATCTGTTGACCTGGCAAGGTTAAGATAGACACAGAGGGAGTCTGATTGATAGGGTCTTGCTGTGTAGACTATGCTGGCGTTGAACTCTGTCTTCCTGCCTCAGCCTCGCAAGCGCAGGAATTACAGGTTTGCACCACCATGCCTGACTCTTTGTGCTGTTGTGTTTTTGAAGTTTCTATCTGTAACTCCATTTCCCAGTGTAGCTCTGGTCAGCTTTGAACTAGCAGCCTCCGGAGTGCTGAGACTACAATATGGGCCACATAGCTGGCAGAACGATGTATCTTGTCTAAGAAACTAGCAGTTGTAGATAATTAATATAAACTTCTACAGAAAAGTACACAGAAGTGCACAGGTGGTTGTCTCTTGATCGCAGGCGTGTGCCACCAGGCCTGGCAGAATGCATCTTTAAAAGCCAAAAATACCTATGTAACCCAGACCAGGAAACAAATCCTCAGAATCCCAGAACACCTCGCTCATAAGCCCTTTTGAAAGATATATTTTGCAGTCCTGGGAGTAAACCCAGGACATTGTGCCTACCACGGAGCTTTGCCCCCAGCCTCGCTGCCCTTGAAGTCATAGGTTGGATTGTTCTCTTTCATCCTCACCAAAGATCACTCCCATCCTGACTTCAAACAGCAGAAATTTGCTTCAGTACCTGATATACCCAAGGTCATACTGCATGAGCAGAAGAGCTTTTTAGGAGATTCTCAAGAGTGATATATTCAGAAGTGCTAAGACGGGATAGGTGGGGTGGGGGGACCTGACCTGACTTGGTTTTGTTTTTGTTTTCTGTACTGGGAATTGAACCCACGGCTGAGCTGCACCCCCAACTCTTTTGATTTTGAGACAGGTTCTTGCTAAGTCGCTAATTTTCCTACACTGAGACTGAACTGGTGATCTTTCTGCCTCAGCCTCAAAGAGTGCTGAGATTACAGACCTGTGCCACCACACTTGGCTCTTATCGACAGGTTTGTTTGTAGTTATCTGCCACCCTCTTGGTTTAGGAAGCAGGCAAGCTGATTGTAGAAGAGACGTATTGGTTCTCTAGCCAGAAATAGGCTCAGAACAGGAAGAACAGCTCATTCAGTGCCCATAACTTGACAGTTATATCCTAGGCCTGAGTCTAAAGTCTGATTCCTATGTTATTTTCTGTCTATAACTCCATTTCCCAAGAGACCATGCCGGGGGTGGGCATGAAACTAGTTTTATTTTCTTTTTCATAGGTTTGGGGGATGAACCCAGGGCTTTGCTTTGTGTCACACTCCCCTTTTTGCCCCCTCCCAAAATCTTACTAAGCCATTCAATTTAAATTACCTAGAATGTTTTTTTTTTTTTTTTTTTTGTCTTTTTATTGGTACCAGGGATCGAACTCACAACTGCCTGCTTGCAAGGCAGGTGCTTATGCCGCTGAGCTAAATCCCCAGCCCCTTAGACTGGGTTTAAACTTGGTATCCTCCTGCCTTAGACCCAGAGTGCTGGGGTTTCAGCCATGTGCCATTTTCATCTCTGAACTAACATGCTGGATTAAGGTTCTATTTAATCTTTTACAAGTCTGATTATCTGAGGTTGGTACCTCTCAAGTAGGCCCAGCCCCTGGCATCCACATGAGTCTCAGTTTCTGGATTTTTTTTTTTTTTTTTATATATTTTTTGTCTCACTATTCAAGGTCTCACTATTCATATACAAAGTGGCCTTGGGCTCACTTTGTAGCCCAGGATGATCTCAAACCTGCCTGCTTCAGCCTCCCGGGTGCGGGGATTACAGACTGGCCAGTTTCTGGATCCTGTGAATAACTACTGGGCCATCATGACTGTGACTGAGGTCTATGTTATACACTTTCTGTAAGTTACATAAGTAAAAAGCAAGTCTTCTTGGTAAATACCATTAAGCATAAGTGAGCTTGCACAATATATGCAAAATAGCTTATCAGTGAGGGAACCAGTAAGGAGCATGCCTAGCTCATACTCAGATGACAGAGCCAGGCAGTCATAGGGAGGCTCCTTCACTTTCATGAGTTTTTGGCCACAAAATTGTTGCACCCTGCACAGTATGAAATGTAAGGTGTTTGTGATGAGGATCTGGGGAAGCTACCACCTGACAATCATCTGTCCATCCAATCTTCTATCCATCTGTCCAGTCCTCCAACTATTACCCACCCAACCTACCATCTAGACAGCCACCAACGCCGAGTGATTCTCCATGACCCGAGAAACAAGGGTCTCCTTTACTCTAATTCCACACTAGGAGGAGGCTGACTGCTGCAGTAACTTAAGGCACAACAGCAAATGTAAGAGCCAGATTACCACTAGATTTAAAGTTCCCCGAGGGCTGAATACACCCTCCTTTTTTTTTTTTTTTTTTTTTTTTTGAGACAGGATATTGTTCTGTCATTTAGGGTGGCCTTAGAGAGGATCCTCCTCCCTCAGCCTCCTGAGTACTAGGATTATAAGCATGCACCACCATGCCTGGCTTTTTAAAATTTTTTCCCCGAGACAAGATCTTGCTATGTGGTTGAGTTTGGCCTTGACTTCACCCTACAGCTCAGGTTTGGCATCACTCTCAGCAATTCTCTTGTCTCAGCCTCCCCAGAGCAAGCGTTACAGATGTGTACCACCACGCCTGGCCTGAAATACAATTCCTGCGAAATAGGTTCAGTAGATTCTTACATGCACGACAAACCAAGACAGTTAGAATGTGAGTAGAGAAGTAGGGGCATCAGAACACTGAAAAGAGAGATTTTCTGTACCTGTCACATAGCGGAGGCCAGGAAAGCACAAGGTTTAGTCAGGGAAGCACGTGCGTCCCTTTCTCAGTGCATCCGGGGAGAATAAGCAGATTGGGGACTACTGCAGCTCAATCTAACGTGCAGGACGGCTCTTCACACCTGAGCATTGTCCTTTTGCGCGCCGTAGCTCCCCAGAAAGTAGACTGGACCTTTGTTTCTAAAAAGCGAAGTCAAGGGGAAGGTCGTTCCTGTCAGGAGGCTGGCACGACTGCCACGCGGTCACAGGGGCGTCGCGTACATCACTTCAGCCCCAGCACGCGGCAAAACCAAGAACAGGGTAGGGGCCCAAAAAGTGTTTGTCGATTTATTTTCAAACTTTAGCTGCTATTCTCAAAGAAATCTGGCGTACCCACTTTCGGCCGAAAGCAGGTCGGCGCCTAGAAATAACATTTATTCTAAGGCTTTCTGCGCAGGGATTCTTGGGAAGCGGTCCCCCGCCTGTATTTTCCCGTTACTCCTCCCCTCAATCGCCTTTCAAAGAACCAGCACGCTGCATGATTCCCTCCTTTCTCCCACCTCGGAAGACCTGGTTGATAATGGGCAGAAGCTGCGGCCAACCATAAAACTGCATTTCGTCTACCAGCCAATAGAAAGAGGGCAGAAGTAGACAGCTCAGTTAGGCGACCTGTCACGCCCCCTTTAAGCACACCCTCACCCCGCCTCCCAGATTCGGCATTTGACAATTCATCTGGCCAATGAGAAGTTCCTACTCTGTGTGGAAGGGTTGGACTGAGTGGATGACAGACATCCCGTTCTGGCCAATGGAACCTCAGAGGTGCGGGAGGGGTGTAGGACCGAGCCAATGGCGCGGTGCCAATAACGAGCATGAGGGAAAGGGCGGGACGAAAGTGTTCGCGGGAGGGAGGGGAAGGCCTAGGGAACTAAGCAGCGCTGCCGCCGCCGCCGTGCCGCCGCCGCCGCCGCCGCAGCAGCCCGAATCGGAGGAGGGAGAAGCCAGGAAGAAAATGGCGGCCGTGGCTGCAGAGGCGGCAGCGACTGCGGCGTCCCCCGGGGAGGGGGGCGCCGGCGAAGCCGATCCGGAGATGGAGCCCATCCCCGGCAGCGAGGCGGGCACGGACCCCCTCCCGGTCACCGCCACCGAAGCGTCGGTGCCGGACGGCGAGGCCGAGGGGCGGCAGTCTTCGCCTCAGGCCGACGAGCCGCCGCCGCCGCCGCCGCCGCCGCCGCCGCCGCCACCAGGGGAGCTCGCCCGCAGCCCCGAGGCGGCGGGGCCGGAGCCAGAGCAGGAGGCGGAGGAGAAGCTGCCCGAGCGGGCGGCGGAGCCGGCGGCCACCCCGCCTCGGGAGGGGCCGGACCTCGCGCCGCCACCGCCGGCCCCTGAGGAGCGCGAGGAGGCGCCGCGGCCGCAGCCCGCAGCCCCGGCGCTCGTGCCGCCTGCGGGCGGGGACTCGGCGGTGTCGCAGCTGATCCCCGGCTCGGAGGTGCGGGTCACGCTGGACCACATCATCGAGGACGCGCTCGTCGTGTCGTTCTGCCTCGGGGAGAAGGTCTTCTCCGGGGTGCTCATGGACCTGTCCAAAAGGTACCGCGCCGCCTGCACGCCGGCCCCTCCCGCGCCCCTCGCCCCCGGTCCCGCTCCCCGCTCCCTCCGGGCCGGGATCGGAGCGAGATGCCGAGGGGGTCCGCAGAGATCGGGGTGGATGCGCGCGGGGAGCCCGACCGTCCTCAGATTCACCTTTAACTTGAGCGACGTGGAGGAAGGGGTGCTGCCTCGGGGTCCCCGACAGCCCACCTGTCACTCCGAGCGGGAACCTTTGTCGGTGTGCACCTTTCTTGTTTCTGATGGATGTAGTTCCCCGTAGGTAACTGTTCAGCAGTGGAGTTCCTTCTGCTCATTTTAACGATAGTTTCACGAAAATGTAAAGAAACGGGATATCCAGGTGTTTTAGCCCTTTCATGTCAAAGTAGTGTGGCCTCCAAGTGTTGAAGTGACTTCTGATGCTGTAGAGACAGTTTCAACCTACTGTATTTTAAGGACGAGGAGATTCGAGTTCACCAGGGAGCCTCTCAACAGTACGTTTTCATCTCTTGATTTAAAATGGGCATGGGCAGTGCGTTAAGCAGGTGAAGCGGAGTTTTCAGTGCGGAGTTAACCTTTTTATTCTCTTCTTTTGCAGATGTGAAGTGCAGGGACTCCCACTCACGGCTTTCCATTCTGTTTCCTGCAACAGCACACACTGATGGTGTCTCGCCTGTTTGGAAAATGGCTTGTGTTTTACTTTTAATTCCTTGCCCTCCCATCAGGACACGAGAAGCCTTCTTTTCCACTTGGGGAAAAGGCCATTTAACTCATTGAAGTATGGCATTTGGGGAAAAATAGGGGTCCTGCACAATTGCTCTGTATGCTTTTAATGTTGAGGGTTCTTTTTTGTTTTTACTTTTTATTATTTTGTTTAATTTTGGAGTAGAGTTTTTGCACTTTTGCTTTCATAGAAAGCAGAATAAGACAAGTGTGCTTTCTACTGATGTATTTATTTACTAGCAAGAGAGACACTCTAGTGTGTATGCTATTGAATCAAACAGAAGAGGAGGCCAGTGATTGTGAGAATCTGAATTTCAAATCTGCAAAAGAAAGGTGCAAAAAGGTAAGTTTGTTTTGAGAATGGAGTGGAATGGATGGTGCTTTCCTGTTTTGAGGTGATCACTGTGTCAGTGTTTTTATTTATTTGTTGTGTTTTAGACAGTGGTCTTGAACTCACTGTAGTCCAGGCTGGCCTTGAGCAGCATGATCCTCCTGCCTCAGTTTCCCACTTGCTAGGATTGCAGGCTGCACCACAATGCCTTGCATTTTTTACTGGGTCCGAGCTGGCCTAGAACTCATGTATTTGTCAGTGGTTTATTTTTTGAAAACTTTGGTAATGAGTTTTACAGTTCTACATTTTGGTCTGTTTTGTGAACAGGCCTTTTTTATAAACAGGAATTTGTTTTTTTCTTGTTTTGGCAGTGATGGGTTGGGGAACCCAGGGACTCCCTCATGCTAGGCAAGTGCTTTACTCTACTGAGCTATAAGCCCAGCCCTAGACAGCAATTTCTTTTGTTGGAGGAGTTTTTTTTTTTTTTTTTTTTTTTAATAGAGATTGGATCTTGGTAAATTGCCCTGCCTGACATGAGTTCAAATTGATAACCTCGGTGTAAGTGGTTTTCCTGCCTCTTCCTCCCAGAATAGCTGGGATTGTAGTGATTGGGACTGTGGGCCTCCTGTGCCACCATCTTCCCTGAGCTTGGAGGAGTTGTGGTATGTTTATGTGTTTGTGTGACTGTTTGCAGTACTGGGCATTGAGTGCAGGGCCTTTGCACTGAGCTACATCCATGGCCTTTAAAATTTTTTTTTGGTACCAGGTATTGAACTCACGACTTTATTATAATTGCCAGCAATTGCCAGCCAAGTGCTTCAGTTGCTGAGCTATATCCCCGCCTCCCTTTTTAATTACTGGGAGAGGGTCTGGCTGAATTGCCAAACTGTTCAGACTGGGCTCAAACTTGTTATCATCCTGCCTCAGCCTCTCAGTGAGTGTACCAACCTGTCCTGCTCAGGAGGAGTCTTCATGTGAATGTTTTTCTCTTCATCAGTGTTTTGAAGAGGAAGGAGGTCCCTGAGGCAGGATTGCTGCCAGTTTGAAGCCAGTCTGGGCTACACAATGAGTCTGAGGCTAACCTGAGCAACCCAATGAGACCCTGTCTCAAAAAAAAAAAAAAAAAAAATGTTTTTTTTTGGGGGGGTACCCAGGGATCGAACTCAGGATCTCATGCTTGCAAGGCAGGTGCTTACACCACTGAGCTAAACCCTCAGCCAAGATCTGATTATTAATTTTTTTTTAACTATTATAAGAATCCTGTCAGTTTATTGTTTTTGTTTTCTTGCACAGGGATGGAACCCAGGGCCTTTTATGCCTGCTAGGCAAGCACTGTACCACTAAACTAGAGTTTCATCCCAACTTTTAATTCCAGAAATGACTTGTTGAGCAGAGTGCTGTGGCCCTTCCTGGGTGCTTTGAGAACAGCATATATGAGACAGTCCCTGGCCTCCAGAAGCTTTTGTGGGATATAGTAGTCACAGGAAGGGGGAGGAAGTCAAGCTCAGTGGCTTTACAACAGCTAGGAAGGAATTACTGTTGAATGGATGATTAACTAGTGGAGAGTCCCCTTTACCTGACTCAGTATAGTGTGGGAAATGGACTTTGCTGGTAGATTTTGTAATCTGCTTGTAGCTTTTTTTTGGAAGCAGGGTTGGGAGGGAGCAGGACCTTAGGCTCCCTAGGCAAGGCCTGTACTCCTGGGCTCACACAGTCCTGCTGGGGCTTCCCTGCAAAGACCCAGGAGATACTTTTTATTCTGCCTCTGTCACTTTAAAAATAATTTGTATCCTGTTGAAATTGGCTATTGAGTTAATACCACTGGATACATGTAATAAGATTTTTTTACTGAGTGTCTATTTTGTGTCAGGCATTTATATCTTATTTTATTTCTTATATTTAGGAGGAAATAGAGATCCATTTAATTTGGCCAGTTTGTCAGTGGCAGTAAGGATTTAAGCTTAGGTTGGTCTGCTTCTAAAACCTGTGCTTTTTCGACTCTAATTTTTTTTGGGTTTTTTTTGTGTTTTTGAGGAGTATCTTGCTATGTAGTTTAGGCTAGCCTTGAACTCACTTTGTAGCCCAGGCTGGCCTCTCTACTTCAATTTTTTTTCTTTTTTTTGTCTTTTCCTTTTTAACGGTACCGGGGATCGAACTCACGATTGCCTGCTTGCAAGGCAGGCGCTTAGGCTGCTGAGCTAAATCCCCAGCCCCCTACTTTAATATTAAAATATTAGTTGGACAGACAAGTTTTTCTCCTTAGCAGAAGGTGACAATTTGTGTATTTCTGAAATGTAGTGCTGACCTGGATTTTAGTGGCCATCTGGGATTTTTTTTTTTTTTTTTTGTCGGTACTGGGAATCGAACTTACGACCACATACTTGGAAGGCAGGTGCTTATGCTGTTGAGCTAAATCCCCAGCCCCACCATGTGGGTTTTGATTCCTGCCCATCTAGTAGGATAAATGGGAAAGAATTAACTTTTGGGAGATTGTCTATGTCTGCCTTTTTTCACCCACAGAAAGGCCCAGTTACTGAACTCATGGCCTTGTGCTTGCCAGCCAGGTGCTGTATCCCCACCTACTGCTTTTATTCTTAACTGCTCACTCATTGTTCTGGGGAGTGAAACCTGGAGCCTTCATACTGAGTTATGTCTTCTGCCCTCCAGTTTGGTTTTTTTCGGACAGTGTCTCACCGTGTAGTTCTGACTGGCCTTAAACTCACTCTGTAGCCCAGGGTCACCTCAAACCAAGGTGGTCCTCCTGTCTCAGCCTCCTGAGTGCTGGGAATATAAGCATTGAACTGTATTTTTGATGGTGACCTCCTCAAGATAAAATCACCTAATGGTAGCTTAGTTCATGCAAGTATACGCCATGATGTTCTCAACAGTGACATATTTCTTTCTTGTTTTTCCTGTACTGGAGACTGAACTCAAGGCCTTGCATGTCAAACGAGTACAGTTTCACTTAGCTACATCCCTGGTTGGGATTTTGTTTTTTGGAGTCTCACTGTGTAGTCCAGGCTGGCCTTGAACTCTTGCTTCAGCTCCCCAGCCTTTCGGGTACTGGAATCACAGGCATGTTCTGTCACACCTGCATCCCCAAACCTTTTTATTTTTCATTTTGGGGTACGGGGGATTGAACTCACAACCTTGTGCTTGCCAGGCAGGCGCTTATGCTGCTGAGCTAAATCCTTTTTATTTTTGTTTTTTGAGATCGGGAATCTTGCTAGGTTGCCCAGGCCAGCTTTGAACTTAACGATCCTCCTGCCTTCGAGGTGTGCCACTGCACCTCGTAATGGTACTGTGCTTTTTCAGAACCCGTGGCTCAGCAGTGTGTGCCTGTGATTGTAAAGCCCAGATGGAGACGGTTGTGCCACCTTGTTTTGACTGCTACTTTCTCCTTTCCTCGAGGTGTCTTTCTTGGGCCAAAAATGACTTGGTCCCCCTTAAATGGAAGGTTATTTTGAGTGTCCCGTTAAAAACAGCTTTTGTGTAGCATAATACATATCTGAAACTCAAAACCTGCAGATGAACCTCCCATTCTCAGTTTACACTAGGCACGTGCCCTTTCTGGTTTGGGCGATTGCTGTGTGCTGGAGAACCCCGGCCTGCAAGGCCGGGCAAGCGCTGCAGCCCTGAGCTGCATCCTCAGCCCTCGTAGTTTAAGTTGCATGCTCAGGAGTGGTGTCTGACTGGTAGTGTGGTGTACTGATGAGCCCTATAAGTTCTGTTGGAGTTTTCCTATGTCCCTTTCTTCCTTACTCTTTGTACTTTCAGGCTTTTTGGTTTGGTTTTATCTTTTGAGACAAGATTTCCTTGTGTAGACACAAGGGTAAGTTTGAAATCAAGATCCTCTCGGGTGGGGGATATAGTTCAGTGGTAGAGCTTTTGCCTTGCACACTCAAGGGCCTGAGTTCAATTCTCCAGCATTCAGGTTATTTTGTCTTTT